CCATGCAATAATTTGCTTCCTAAACAGCATGTCCACACCTGATCCAAGTGTTGACCAACCATACAGTGTCCTGCGGCTCAGTCACTGCCTCGCTTTACAAATTTTATTCTCAGTACTGTCTGGCTTATCCTTCCATTAAACCCTGAAGAAGGTGGAATTAATCAGGCAAAGGGGGAAAGAAATGAGTGCAAGAGCAAATATTCACAGGGATCCCAATAACAATAATCTTATCCTGTGGTGCTGTAAAACCCATAAAGTCTTTTGTTTCTTCGAAGACTCCATGCATCACAAAGAGACTTTGCTTAACAGTTGGAGGGGGGCTAAACAATCCAGTATTGTCCATTTCCCTGTATTTAAAGAATTGCATTTTTCACATGAACAGGGAACCAATGGAACTCCTGAACAATGCCCAGGACAGGATTTTAAAAAGGTAGCAACAAAAAAAGGAAGGAGTTAATAAGATAGCCTACCTGTGGTAACTTTTGTGTTCCTTAATTTTGCATTCCAAACTGCTCCACGCATTGCTAATCAGTGATCAACTGGGAACTACAGATCATTCTGAAAAGCTCGGCAGGGTATTTGCCTTTCAATTCTTCTACTCTGTTTATTCCCAATACAAGTATATTCATCAAGCTTAGAAACAACTCTTGAACAAAGAGAAGCCTTTTCACAATGAAATGTAAATCACAGACTTGTGCTTAAAACATAGACTTGCCATTGCTTAATGAGTGCACTGAGAGGAAAATACTGACTGGATGATTTAAGTGTTTCCATTTAATCCGACAAGTTCTAATGTCCCCACTCACCGGCAATGGTTTCGACAACGCATTGTGAAAGTTGTGTACTAACTGGAGTTCTGCATCATTCTGCATTGTCCCCAGTATTAATATGTTATCACTGTCAGAGCTTTTCAATGTAGCAATATTACAAGCCCTGCAATTGGAAAAGACTACTAAACTGAAATAATTTACCAAGTATTTTAACGGTATCAGTTTTGTTACCTTTCATTTACTACAATAGCTATAGAATGGGATCAACAGTCCAAACTTGGTTTGATTTTCAACAGGTTAGAAATCTTTTTAAAAAGCAGTAAATCTTTGTTTACAAATTAATATTGCACTTTCCCAGTATTATCCATGCTTTTTCTTACTTTAAAGAAACACATGTTCTGCATTTCTGGAGTGCATACTTAAATGTTATACACAAATTTTCAAATCAGCCAGAGTTTCATTCAGCGTATTGCTGGTGGGAGGTTGGAAAATGCAGCTTCTGCTGGTTTGGAGTCAAAACAGGCACCCAAAGAAATTCAGGGGAATACACAGGATTCTAGTTTTGAGGAAAATAAGCTTAAGTTCTGAAGTGAATTACAGTATTTAGAGACACAGGAAAGAAATGAATGGATTAGCATTAACAAGTATCTGGAATTTGAATTAATGAGTATACTGCATTGCTTTGTACATTGTAGCAGATTGAGAAAAGACAAAATAGTGATGCTTTTGAATGACAATAGTTAGCAAAATTATCATTTTAAAACTACAGAGGAGCCCACTGATTCCAATCATTTAATATGATTGTAGAGGGGACTGGTGAGACTGAACAGGAGTACACACTTTTAATCTCCTTGCACTGGAAGCAGCTCAGAGAGAGTTCATGAGGCTAATTCCTGTCATGAAAGGGCTGTCTTATGGAAAAAACCTTAAGCAAGTTGGATCTATACTCATTGGAATTCAGAAGATTGAAAGATGATTTTATTGAAACATAAATAATTCTGAGGGGACTTGACAGGGTGGATGCTAAGAGGATGCTTCCTGTCATTGGGGGAATCTAGAACCAGGGGACGCAGTTTCAAAACAAAGGGTCACCAGTTAAGACGGATATGAGAAGAAATGTCATCTCCCAGAGGGTCATTAGTCTTTGGATTCTCTTCCCCACAGACACGAGCATAATCAGGGCCATGAATAACATTCAAGGCTGAGGGAGACACAGATTTACAGTCATAGAGATGTACAGCACAGAAATAGACCCTTTGATCCAACTTTTCCATGCCAATCAGATAGTCTAATTTAATCTAGTCCCATTTGCCAGCATTTGGCCCATATCCCTCTAAACCTTTTCTATTCATATCATCCAAATACCTTTTAAATATTGTAATTGTACCAGCCTCCAGCACTTCCTCTAGCAGCTCATTCCATATTTGCATCACCTTCTACATGAAAAAGTTGCCCTTTAGGTTCCTGTTAAACCTTTCCCCTCTCAACGTAAACTTATGTCCTTTAGTGTTAGATTCCCCTACCCTGGGGAAAAAAAAACCTTCATATTCACACTACCCATGCTCCTCATGATTTTATAAACCTCCTTACGGTCATCCCTCAATCTCTGACGCTCCAGGGGACAAAGCCTCAGCCTATTCAACCTCTCCCTATCACTCAAGCCCTCCAATCCCAGCAACATCCTTGTAAATCTTTTGTACACCCTTTCAAGTTTAACAACATCTTTCCGACAGCAGGGAGATCAGAACTGAATGCAGTATTCCAAAAGTGACCTAACCAATGTCCTGTACAGCCACAACATGAGCTCCCAATTGCTATACTCACTGCACTGACCAATAAAGACAAGCATGACCGACACATTTTCACTACTCTGTCTACCTTTGATTCCACTTTCAAAGAGCTAATCAACAAGACAATCGAGGGTTATGAAGGGCAGACAGGGAAGTACATTTAAGGCCAAATTCATATTAGCCATGATCTTATTGAATAGTAGAACAGGTCAAATGGCCTACGGCTGCTCTTATTCCTTATGGTCACTATCAAATTTTTTCAAATATCCAACTTCTGTGATTTGACTTTACAGATATTTTAATATTTTGTGGTTAAATGCTAGCCATTTTCTTGGCATTAGGCAAAACATCCATTGTATTTTGGGGGTGGCAGGATGTGTTCCCATATCTTTTGGTTGTGATCATTGAAAGTTACACAGCAAATGAATGCCTGCTTTACTCATTCAGTAACACAAAGTTGGCCCAATGGAGGGTGGAGGGAATGGTTCAAGAGGATAATACAAACCCTACCAACAAAAATTGATGCAGAAGCTGCTAATAGTGCGCTGAATAATTTCAACACAGTAGAGATTGTCTTAGAATACATGCTTCACTTTTGTCTTATCTACTCAGCTGTGTTATAGGTTTGAAACATACAATGGATATTAGATATAATTGACAGCACAGAAACAGGTCATTCGCAGAATATATGCTAATGTTTATGCTCCACACAAGCCTCCTCCTGTCCTTTTTCTTCCAATCCTTGCCCACTTGTGTGCCTATCTCAGTTTCCATATCACCATCTACGTTATTATTCTTTGTGATAGTAGGTTCCACAATCTATCAACTGTCTGAATAAAAAGAAGTTTCTCTTGGATTTACTGATTATCTGTATTTCATGTCAGCTTCCTGTGCTTACACATGAATGCAACTCATGAAACCAATGATTACAATGGTTTCTCCTACATTTATTGATCCAATTCTCATCTAAAGTGCTAAATGTTTCCACCACCCTATTGAGAAGCGCAGTCAAAATCCAAATATAAAAAACACTTTTCCTTTTATTACTTTAGGTTAAACAAAAACTAAGGTAATATAAGGAAAAATGTTTTTTATATTATGCGTGATTAGGATTTTGAATGCACTAATCCAGTAGGGTGGTGGAAACATTTAACAGTGCACTTCGGAGGGGAATTGGATAAATAAATGTAGGAGAAACTATTGCAAGGATATTAGTGGCGGGAGCATGGGTGAGCAGAACTAATTGGATTAATCTTTAAAAGGGCTGATGTAGCCTCTATGGGCCAAATGGCCTCCATCACGACTATACTAATTTGTGATTCTATGAATACAGAACCCATGTAACAGGCATCGTATAAAGCAAAAATAACATCGTATTCAGGCCATTTCCTCAATGAAGCCACAACCATGATGGATTAGTACCGCTACTACAATGAATCTCAGTTAGCATCACTTCCTGCTTATTGTCACATTCTAGGCTGGCAAATTGAAAGCGACAACAACAAGGTTCCACTGCATTAATTAGTGACTGAGTGCCTCTGCTTATTCGTCAGTGGAAGTGCTGTAATGACGCCTCCTGACCTAGAGGGTCACTATCTGCCAGTGTAGCATGTCCATATCACAACAGAAGAACAGCTGTGCTCTTTATCATATATATTTATCATTGATTTTAAAAAATCCTTCATCAACTTGTGCTTTCAAGAAATAAACTAAGTGAAATGCCATTAATGCAGTTGGATAAGACCAGAAAATTTGGAAAAATGTAATCCCCTGTCATGCTATTCGTTATAAATAACTTGATTTCTCTAAAACTTACGCTAAGGCAAAGTTTCATTCCTGGTTAAAATATATTTTTACCTACATCTTAACAAACATTCAATGGCTCACACAGATTTTTAAAAATTTAACTCGGTTATAAACTGTGCAATTCCCACAATTCCTTGTGATGCTAACTGAAAGGCAAACGGATAAAATGAAAAGGGATTTTAAATAATATGTCATTTTATACATGCATTGTGGAGCATTGAATGTTAAAGTCATGATGCATTAACTTTTAACAAATCTGAAGAGTTAATTTTACTGAATAGGATTGCAGTGCAATTTCAGAAGTGGCCTCTATTCTTTGGAACCGCTGATTTTGAGAATTATTGTGCGCCATTTAAACATTTTTCAGGGCTGCTTGAGTCAGCGAGGCTCATGTAATTTCTCCCCCATGCTTTCAGTTGAATCTCATCAAGCCAGAATTCTCAGGTTATCATAATACACACTGATGAGGCCAGCTGAGTCATCAACAGCACCACTGTGAAGGTTTCAGCCTTGCTTTAAATCAGGCCCCTCTCTCTCAACTCACATGTTCGTTACTCACAGGCGAACTGCCATGTCTATCCTTTCCGCAAGATTAATCAACAGCAAGCAGGGGGACATCAACTACAAAACTTACCAGACGTCTGGCAAATTCTTTGTTTTCTGAAAGAAACCCATATCCTGGGTGGACCTAAGACACAAAAAAAAAGCAGAAGGCATACATAATATAATCTTTTAAGCTCCGAATTAATCTTAAGTCTATCACCATTTATCTTATTCAGTGCTTGAAACAAGGAAAGAAAATTTGATCGCATTGTTTGCCTGACTATGTGTATTGGCTATGTGAACATTCATTGATTTCCCGCAGAGTGAATAGCTTTAGGAAGAATTACTACAACTAATATTAAGAGAGAAATGCTAATTCAATGTTCAAGATTAATTAGAATTTTTTTAATAATAATAAATAAAAGTAAATGATGAAATGAACTCAAGTTACTCCCTGGAGTGAAAAGCTGAATTCTGCAGCCACCTGCAGGATCAGTAACAGGCACTGCCAGATGCTACAGAGCCTTTGATTTCCAGTACCAATCAAGCTTCAATTTAACTCGCGTCACATGAACTAAACAGGAAGAGGATAGTCAATCTTTTACAAGTTCTGCCATTTCCCAAGGAACATACAAGCATCAGCAATGGGCTTTAAGCACATTCAGACTCACAGCTTGGGCACCGGTCTTTTGAATGGTTTCCATGATGGCATCCAGGTTGAGGTAGCTTTTGTTGGTGGGGGCTGGTCCAACACAGGAAGCCTCATCTGCCATTTTAACATGAACCTGCGGGGACAAAGACACAATTTACTAACAGGGTATTTTCAAGTGAACATAATTAACTTATATTTTACATTCACGTGCAGCTTTGGAAGAGGTGACTGTGACAAGGTTTGAAGCATATTCTTTATCCGCGTTGTGGTTCAGTTTGTTTAACAATGAATGCACTGCAAAACCAATAACATGATTTCAAAAAACAGCAAGCGACTTTTTAAAATGTACTGTTACACAAGAGACTGATTCTGGGCGATCAGTGCATCAATTGTTAAAATTAATTGCAATTAAATATAAATGAATGACTGTGGCCATTTAATGCATCTGTAGTCAAGAATGTTTGGAAATACTAATGACGATTATATGCAGCCCAAGCAGTTAATAAAATTGTACTGAATAACAAACACTCATGGCCATTTCTAAGCGGGCTCCCCAGGATGTTGGAGATAATTAGCGTGAATTCAATGCAGGGATGCTCCAAATGTCCCTGCACAGCATCAGGTCAGCAACATGCACAAATTAAGGCCAATGTCTAAAGAGTTCAATATCGTTGCACATGAACCGGAAAATCTAGGGAATTATTTATCCACGGCAGGCACTGACTCAAAAGTTTTACCCACATCCATATTCTTTTTATAAGATTAAAAGAACAGGGAGCCATCCGATGTTTAACATTCAATTAAAGTTCAGAACATTACTGAATATAGTAGTTAGTCCATTGCATTCTAGTAGTCCAAGCTAGAATCATTGCTGCATGTACAATTTGGCTATACTGAAAACAGTTGTCACAATTAATTTTAGAAGTAATATTCTCAAACAATTTTAAATGGTGACAAATTTAGCGCAGTATTACTTGGAAGTAGTTTTGGATAATCACTCAATGGGTGGTGACAGAGGAGGGGAGTGAGGGAGTCACAGATTTTTACTGTTCACTTATTCACTTATTGAGCACGTCAAAAAAATGATTATTCTACTATAAATAGTAAATAGTGTAAATCTTCCCCAGGTGCTCTAGGACTCTTCTTCAGAATTGTCTCACCCGAAAATGTTTAGCATAATAGTTTAAACACGTGGTGCAATGGTAATGTCCCTATCTGTGGACTGGGAGGCCTGGGTTCATGTCCCACCTGCTCCAGAGGTGTGCACTAACATCTCTAAACAGGCTAATTAGAAAAATAGGTTATTTTTTAAAAAGAGATAGTAGGAACTGCCAATGCTGGAGAATCTGAGACAACAAGGTGTAGAGCTGGATGAACACAGCAGGCCAAGCTGTGTTCATCCAGCTCTACTTTTTTAAAAGCACTGCTTTGTTGGGCCTAGCCAGGTTGGCTATAAGCAGGTCCAGGCAGCGGGCTGTGGAGAGAATCATCTCTGCCAACTGCTGCCTCTCTACCGTGGTTACATTTGAGCCCAATTTTCATTGGAGAAGGTGCATGCGGTGTCCATCAATGCTGTTGATGCCTTTACAGAGAGGTGGGCACCGCAGGAGAGAGAGTGCTTTATCCCCCACTCCAACTCAATTTGATTTAGTCGCCCCCTGTTTGCACCCCCAACCCTTCCTTTTTTGTTTGATGTCACCATTGCCCTTAGCAGACTTTGCTTGTTCCTACACAAATGGCTGCATAGGCATTTTCCTGGTGGTGGAAAATACATATACAAAACATAATGAAGTCTATTCACAGAGATGTCTTTTTTTCTGTCTCACTGCTTTGAGAGCTCTTGTGGCACCATGGGTACTCGCCCTACCTCGAGACTAGGAGACCTGGGTACACATCCCACCCGGGCTGATACTGTGTCATTGCATCTCTGAACAGGTTGGTTAGGAATTGTCTGCAATCTCCTGGTCCAAAATCAAGCACTGCATTGACAGCTCTTACGGCACAGCGGTAGTGTCTCTACCTCTGGCCCAGGAGGTACCTCTCTAGAGGTGTGTGATAGGAACTCTGAACAAGATGATTAGAAAATAAACACTAGTTGGAAGACTCTTATGGTGTGGTGGTAGTTCCTACTCTAGGCAGGAGAAAGAAAACACTGGCTTGTATCACTGTGGTAGTGTCTCTACCTCTGAACCAGGAGGTTCAGCTGCAATTCCCACCAGGTCCAGAGGTGTGTAATAACATCTTAGAACGGGCTGATTAGAAAATATCTAAGCACTGGTTTGTGCCCAAGACCTGAGTTCAATTCCAGTAAGGGTGCAACGTGAAATAGTGATCATTTATAGAGTCTTAGAGATGTACAGCACGGAAACAAACCCTGCAGTCCAACTCATCCATACTGACCATTTAGTCCCATTTGCCAGCATTTGGCCCTTACCCCTCTGTACCCTTCCTATCCATGTACCCATCCAGATGCCTTTTAAATAGTGTATTGTTTGTTTCAGTTCAGCTCCTAAAGGAAAAAGGGTGCCACAATATAAGGTTTACCATCCCATTGCATCAATATCCTTCACCTTAATAACAAACAAAATTCACAAAGGGAACAACTAGGTCATATCTTCAAACAGATAAAACTTGCATTTCCATAGTACCTTTCACGGTCTTAGGACACTCCAAGTGCTTCAAACCCTATGAAGTACTTTTGAAATGTAGTCACCGTTGAAAAGTAAAGAGAAACACAGCAGCTATTCCATGCATTGCATGGTTCCCCAACAAGGCGATGGCCAGATGATATGTTCTTTTGAATGATGCAGAAGTGAAAAGGTGTGCACAGTTCTATATCCAGTTTGGACTGGTTATCAAATGTGGAGTTAGCTACAATCAGAGGAGGGAAATGGCATTTAGGAATGGGAGTTTTTCCAATCAGGAAGCGATTTACGAACAGTTCCATTGCGTGATGAGTTACACATAGCTCACTGGCAACTTCCTGGTATTATTTCACTGGCCTGCTGCATCTATTAGACGGGTCTCATTTGGGAATTCTGAAAAACATCATTTAGATTCTTAAGATTTGTTAAGTGTGAGAGATAAGTGGGGAATGTTCATATGAGAAACCCAATGTAAAAGCACTTCTTTTAGTTTTGGAATGTGTCCTCCCTCACAAGAAAAGAAATATCGTAGCAAAGGATTCAGGTAAATCTGATTTTAAATCTTGCTGTGATTCTCTTTAAGACACTCCTTAAAACCCAACTTTTGATCAAGTTTTGGGCCATATGCCCGATCATCTCTTTGCAGCTCAATGTCAAACATTTCTTTATAGAGCTCCCGTGAAATGCCTTGGGAACTTTTATCACATTAAAACTGCTGTCAGAGTTATAGGTTGTTGTTACAGAAGAGAATTCCTGACAAGGTTAGGTGCACTGTTTGCTTCATTATATAGTGGGGGTAAAAAGCATTGCTTGGTGTAGCACCGAGGGTTTGCCAACTCTGGATGGAGGTATTCCTGCAGGTTTCATCACATGACATTTTGCCTCCAACTGCCCATTCCCGCCATGGAACACCCAAGTCCTACTTCTGCAGAACCAACCCTTATCTCAGTGAATGACTCTTTACTGTCATTGAAACATCTTTTCACATGTCCTTCTCTCTCTCTCTCTGTCTCACACTCACGCATCATGCTGTTAGAACACAGCAAGGGTCCACTGTGAACTGCATGCAAAACAGTAACCTCAGCTTGGTCCTAGGCAGCAGCACATGTGCAGAGATAGTAAGAACTGCCGATGTTGGAATCAGGGATAACACCGTGTGCATTTGGAGGAACATAGCAGGCCAGGCAGCATCAGAGGAGCAGGAAAGTTGACATTTCTGGTTGGAACCCTTCTTTAGAAAGACCCTTTTTCTGAAGAAGGGTCCCGACCTGAAACGTCAACTTTCCTGCTCCTCTGATGCTGCCTGGCCTGCTGTGTTCCTCCAGCTCCACACGTGTCAGCACATGTGCAGAGGCTGGTTGGCACAGCACATTGCTAGCAAAGCCTTGTCCCCTTTAGTGCTGGTCCTTGAGGTCTGTGTTCAGCTCAATTACAGCTTGGTGCTTATTTAGAGTCTCTTGTAAGCTGGTGACAATATAACTGGGTTAAGTTTTCATTACAATTTCCCCACCAACCACCATCACGAGCAACAACCCCTTCTCCTCCCATGAAGTACTGTATCCAATATTAGTGGGAGTGGAAGCTGGAGTAAGAGCAAAGCCCTGGATGTGGGTAAGGAAAGGACTACAGTGAGGGAGTGGAGCTATGGGTGCAGTAGGCTTGGTGCAGAGGAAGTGAAGCCAGAGCAGCGGGATTATTTTCACTGTATTGTTGGTTTCAATGAACACACTCAGAAAAGATTCTGCAGCTGCCAGGAACAGCTCCACAAAAATCCTGCATACAAACATCATGTACCTGCTGGACAGTGAGTCCAGGTTCCCTAAAGAGGGGTCCTAGTGAACCATCAGTGTGAGCTATTCCTCCAGAGCCCATTTCAGCATGAAGGATATTACTGAAAACTGCAGGGCAGTTGTAGCCACCGAGAGCAGTGAATATGGGATCATTAAGTTTAGGGCCAGAATGTAGTGGTCACCGTTGCTGCCGCCGTGCACTGCACACCAGCACCACCACCAGCACCAGCACCAGCACCACCACCACCACCAAACCCACCCCCCAAGCACCCCCCACACCCCCCGCCCCCCCCCCCCCCCACCCCCCCCCCACCCCCCCCCCCCACCCATTTAGAGTTTTAACTAAAAGAGTTAAATTAGTTGATGGCTTATCATTGTTTACCTGTAACTAGAATCTATTATTTGTTTCAAATAATTATTTTTAAGTACAGAAGCTTGGTCCATTCTTTCTGTCAACCTTGGTCTGAAAAGACAAGTAAATTGCATAATTTTGCATATTTTTACAAAATCTTCAACTTTTTTGATGAATCTGAGAATAGCGGAGCTTGATTTCCAGCAGGCTACTCCAGTGAGGCAGAACACCATTGACGTTCAAATACCTTGCTGAAACTTGCCAACAAGACTTAATAAAAGTCATGGCTTTAGAAAGAAAAATGTGGTGAAGGCTGGTACAAATACAACACTTAAAAGGCATTTGG